AAAAAAAAAAAAAAAAAAAAAAAAAAAAAAAGCTCCACAAACTGAAGCTGAAAGCAAAAGGCTCTTTTTGAGGGTCAGAGACCCTCAGCACTACGGGTATTGCTGAAATTGGGCCATTTAGATGGAATTATTGGGAAAAATTGTCACTTTTTTTTTTTAAGAAAAAGCTGCGGGTCTAGGAAAAAATGCTCTGCTCATGGGGATTTGACTTGCTGTAGGAGGCACAGGGGAGGGAGGTGAGCGACAGCTTCGTCAGAGCTTCCCTTGTGTTTGAGAAATGGGATTCCCTTTCTATTAGCCAGGATAACAAATATCTATTAGGAGAACATAACGCCCACGGGGCAGAGCTGTGAGAGTCTGTTCCTCACCAGCCAATGGTAAGTAGAGGCAGAGGGGGAGAGAGAAAGAACTGAAAACGGTTTCCCAACCTGCGCTCGGCCGCCTCGGGAGGAGCCGAGGGAGGGCTGAGGTCCCCGCAATGCCGGAGGCTCCAAGCCCCAGATCCCCAGGGATGGGGAGAATGGGGCTGTGTGGGACTGAGCCCCCTCCCTGGCCACGGAGCATCTCCCGGGGCCACGGGCCTTCGCTCACCCCTCTCTGCTGTAGGATCCCCGCAGTGCCGGGAACAAGCCGTGTCTGCCGGTGAAACGCTGCGGCATCTGCCAGAGAAACCCCCGCAGGGGTGGGAAAAGGTCGACTGGCGAGTGAGACTGAACTCGGGACACAAGATCCGGATCCTGACCACTGAGAAGAATCAGGCTGTCCAATTTTCCAAGAGTCCTTTTTCTGGGAGAGCTGGTTTCCATCCAGATACCCTCTCCCTGTGGATCAGCGCGGTTGGCACGGCAGACAGCGGGGTCTATGAGGTGGAATTTGAGGACACATCAGGTTCTGTTACTGCCCAGTGGTGCTTCCGCGTGTCGGTGTGGGGTGAGTATCCTGGTCCCCATCACCCCGTCCCCCTGTCCCTCCCCGTCCCTTCTCACCAGCTCTGTCCCCGCAGAGCCCGTCCGCTCGCCGCACCTGGAGCAAAACCTCCTGCACCGGGAGCAGGGCTGGTGCAACCTCTTGCTGGTCTGTGCCGTGCCCGGCGCCAGCAACGTCTCCTACAGCTGGACCTGCAGCGGGGACCCCCTGGGAGACCCAGAGCCCCGTCCCTGGGTGCATCTGCATGTCCGTGATGACGACAACCTCACCGTCTGCTCCTGCAACGCGAGTAACCCGGTGAGCTGGAGCGTGGCCAGCACCGACGTCACGGCAGCCTGTCACACCGAGGCCTCAGGTTTGTGGGACTGATGTTTCTGGGGGGGACCTGCTGCCCTTCCAGCTCCAATTGTGGTTTGGGGCTTAAATCTATTAAACGGGAGGTGTCGACATGGGCTGGGGGGGCAGAGAAGTGTCAAGGTGCTGCGTGGTTGGGAACCGCTGCGGGAGGCGCTGGGGATGTGGCAGGATCGGTCCCACCAGTGCTCTGAGCCTGTGCTGTGGGCGACCTGGCCTCGGTGACCCCGGAGGGACAGGGGATGTCACCCCCATCCCCAATTTCTCTCTATTTACAGGCGTTTCACTGTCCTACTGCCTGGTGAGGGGGCTGCTCTGCCTGGTGGTGCTGGGCAGCCTGAGCGCAGCAGTGGTCGGCACCCACGTCCTCGTCCGGCGGTGGCGATCCCCTTCCCTCGGCACTCCTTTGGGTGCTGGGTAGGACCCCCCAAAGTCTCTTTATGCATCAAGTCCGGCCTCAAAAACTCCCTAACAAATGAGCTTTTAACCGCGCTTGAGCATGGATTAAAGAAAAATCTGCTTTTATTTTTTTTTCCCCCCAGCATTATGTATTGAGCGTTCTCGAAAAAGTTCTGGGTTGTTCTCTGGAGAGGACAGATCAGATGGGCTGCAGGGGATTTCAGCCCAGAAGACGAGGCTCCCCTTCAACAACGCAGGGCTCCCCCAGCCCAAAACACACACACCCCCCACCCCGGGCCAGGGTTGTCCCTCTGGTTTTGAGCAAACAGGGACACACTCCACCGCCCGGCGTCCTGCCAGACCCCCCCGGCATGGAGCGGGGTGTGGGGACCAAGCAGCATCACCCCGGCCTTGCGTGAACTCTCCTCCCCATCCTTTAACAAAGCAGATCGGCGTGTCGCCTGCTCGTCGCCAGAGATTTAGTCCCTCTGCCCAGTTTCTTAATTCCAGATCTGCCGCGTGTAGATAAACTGCACCACGTGGAAGGAGCATCGCGCTCCGTGGGGGCAGCAGCAGTTCGTTGGTCCCTTATCTATCCCCAGCCAACAGATACCACCTCATTAAACCACTGGTAGATATTAATGAGCTCGTCCCGCGAGTGATTTTACTACGATCTCAGCTTTTCCTGCCCTAGCAGGGATGCCCAAGCTCAGCACAGCCCCATCGAGGCCAGGTGACCCCTGTGCCCTCGCCATCCCTTGCCCGGCAGCATCGTTCGGGGCCGGTGGCTCGTGGGAGCCACGGAGCTGCTGGAAGAGAGCAAGATGCGGCCCCTAATCCGATCTCTCCACCGTCTGCTTCTGCCCTCCGATCCGCGCCGCTAATCACCTTACGGTAAGCTCATTGCCTCCGCGGCCGCCCCAGCCATTCCCCGGCCCCGCTGCCGGGTTGGACACGGGCAGGGAAACAGCGGCCGGGAGCTGGGGGATGCGTGGGATGAGTTTGGGACTGGGGGTCCCCGCTGAGGAAGAGCCACCCCAAGCAGGGGTCGTTGGCTGGTTCCGCTGGGAACTGGGCAAGCGGGTGGGAAAAGCGGCAAATTCCCAGCAAAAGTCTTAGAAAAAAGGCCGAAGGGCTGGGAGAAGAGAGGGCTGGGACCTGCTCAGCCTCTCTGGGTTTCCTGCAGTGACCAGGGGGCAACAGTTTCAGTCTTCTCAGTGGGGGAAACTGAGGCACGGCCTGACACACACATCACCCCCCTCAAGGCCAGACGGAGGCGGCTGGAGGAGCTCCGGCATCTCTCCCTCCCCACGCGGTGCCCTGGCAGTGACGTGGAACACACCGGCTCCCACGGCCCCTTCCTCCCCCTCGCAGGCAGAGGAGCAAAAAAACTAATTAAGGCTACAAAGGGAAAAGCAGCATTTTGCAAGGTTGAAAACCTCGGCTCCAGAGAAGGGGGGGGCTGAGCCGATTAATTAGAGCTTTTGTCTGCGGCTCCATTCAACATGTAGGGAACAATTTACATCAAGGGAACCTTCCTCGGGCTGGAGGAGCTTTGCCCAGGGAGCGCGAGGGAAAAAAAAAAAGGGAAGGGAATGAAAGGGAAACATTTACCACGTTTCACGGCCCGCGTTGAGGAGGAAGGGAAGACGCTGCATACTTGAGGCACCGCATTGCAGAGGGTGTTTTTATTCAGCGCATCATCCGCGGTTTCTCATTCCCCTTCCAGCTAAATTTGGCCCACGAGATGCGCC